TTCATCAAATGTCACCGAGTGGAAGTCGAAGTTCGTTTTCATTCGACCTGCTCCTGGCACGTATCCCTTTGTGAATAAATGGATCACCTCGAAGGTGAAGCAGAATAAACGGCCTCGCTCTGACGAGTTTGCTCGGCTGTTATCCGAGTTAAATAAGCACACATACAGTGCTCGTCAGCTAATAAAGGACCGTGAATTAGTTAATCATGCTCGAATCGTCTTTTATGAAGACCTTCCTCGTCTCGATGATCCCCGTAAGCCGTCATTGTTTTCTCTTTTTTTTTTTTTTTTTTTTTTTTTTGCACTAAAAATTTGTTGTTTTAATATGCCCTATAGACACTCAATGTTTTTGCACAACATTCGAGTACTTCAATTTCACGTGTTTGACACCTTAAGAGTACTTGTAGTTCTCTGATTAGAATCTGGCAGCTGCAGCATTATCAGAGAAGTTTTTCAACCGCCTGGCTCCGAATATTACAATACAGGTACTGTGTTTCTTATCTTTTAATGCTACAAATTTAGCATCCGCATTCATATCAATAAACACAAATAATTTACCTGGAAATGTTCCCTCTTTATATATGCAAGATGTCTTATCTGAATTTTCATGAAGAATCGCTCTTATTCAACTCATTACCAATATCAGAACTAGAACTCTAGACACTGATTTATTTGTTATGTTGACTTCAAAGACCAATGTTGATTTATATTGTTTTTGATAGGATTTTGAGATCTGCCATACTTTTGGTACTTGATAGATTGGAATTATTCTAACTTAGTATCTTTTATGTGGTAAAAAATCTAAAAAATGAGATTTTGGTCGTTCGTTTTTTTTTTTTTATTTATTGTATTATTTGAAAAAGGTTACTTATTGTTCACAAGCCTTTTTGTATCATAAATTTTCCAGGTTGTAAATGCAAATGGTTCATTGTAACCATTCTCTTGTTGTCTATTCTTTGCGTTCCTTTGAATGTTTAATTGAATTTACGGCCCTAGTAATTGGATAGTAGACATTCAGCACATTGTATATCTATCCCCATCATTGAACGACGCAATTGATTTTAATTCTCTCAAAAGTAGTACAAATCATGCAATTTCTCTAGATGTAAGTCTTCAAACATAATTACGTGCCTTCATTATAATTTGGTTATTGTTTTAGGAGCTGAGCTTTTGATACTTCCTACTAATAGTCGTATAACTTCAAAGCCAAGGTTACAATTGAGAACCTAAGAGCAAGGTTACTAATAGTCTAATATCCCTGGCAGTTACTAGTACGTTCAATCTTGATCCATTCAATGAACACAACGATGCTTCCCTTTGGGAGGCTTTTTATAAAGAGAAAAAATGGCTAAACACAAATCATGTTACAAGGTCTCAATTTTGTCAAAATTAGAGTAGTTTAATTGTAAATTATGATGTTGTGTATTGTATATTTGTTATACCCATAGTATCTATTTACATATATATATATATATATTTTCTAGCAAAGCAATTAATAAAAATATTTTGGTTTCCCTCTCTTTTCAGTTACAAAAGTATATCATTAATTTTTTTTTTTTTACCTTTCACATTAATACACCCTATTATGTGTAATCATATATTTTTTGCTATTATATTATATAAATGTTAATGCTGATACCAACTAATAATAATTCACACTAAATGCAAATAGCATAAATATAAATAATTCTATTGCAATTTTTTTTGAAGTTATTTATTCTAAAATCAATATTATCTTTTTTTTTTTTATATATTTTATGAAACAAATTTCTTTTAAAAAAAAATAGCTAAATAGTATTAATGCAAAGTCAAACCAATTTAAAATTTTATAAAAAGTTGTAATAATAATAATATTAATTTACAATTAAATTATTTGACCATGATCCCTCCAGATTACAAAAATTAAATTACCCACAAACTTTTTTCTATCAATATAGTGATTCATATATACTTAAATAATTTATATTTATATTATTTTATTTTTTATTAATGATTAAATATTGAAAATATGATATGTCCATTATCTAAATTTTTAACATTAAAATCACACATATTACTTATATATTTTTTGTAAAGCTGTGCATGTGGACAGTATTGATTACTATTTTATACTAACACTCCCAATTAAAGTAATGGCGTAAATCTTAATTACAACAATTTTAAAATCTTAAATTGGGCCCGGCTTACAGCAATTTTAAAATCTTAATTGGGCTGAACAAAACTATATAAAAAGGGATTTAAGAAGAGAAGGATGTAGCCACGATCTTTGTAAGACAGACGCCTAATTCATAGAGCAAATGAGCAATCGCTCCCTAAAGGTTAGCCAACACTGCTAGGGTTTCTTCTCGAGCTTCTACACTCAACTCGCGAATTTCATGACTAATAAAACTCCCGCCATGGACGTCGATGGTGATGATATGAACCCCTCATCTGCGGCAACGCCCAACCGCCAGCCACATGTGGCGCCGCCGTTCGACCTCAATTTGTGGGTCGACAAAAGTAACGAGCTCATGCTCGTGGTGCAGATCATTGGCAACGGGTCCTCCTGTTATTCTCTAGTCTCTACCAATCACGACTCGTTCAAAGTAGTAGTAAAAGATGATATGTCCAGCTTGTCGGCTCTACTCAAATCTCAAAACTGCAATCCCGAGCTGTATGCGAAACCCTACGATTATCAGGTTATAACTGCCTGCAACCCATGGATATTGGTGACATGTGGAGAGATTGATGGTACGGGTTTACAGTATCTGTGGAACCCTTTTACCATCGAGATCAAAACTCTTCCACAGCCTCCCCTGCCTTTCCCACTCGACATAGGCATCAGTTTTTAAGTATTGGGGATCGATCCTTCATCGGGGGACTATAAAATTGTCGGGGCTCGTTATACGGATGAGGATCCTGATGAAGATATGCTGCGTAGGCTTCTTGAAGGTGAACCTGTAAATAAGGATAGTTCTGATATCGAGGTTTGGGTTTGGAACAATGGCAGCTGGTCTAAGGAGCACTCGTGCACTATCCCTGCCGAAGTTCGTTTTGTATCGGGTCTCTTCAAGAAGAATAAATTGCTTCTCATGAACTCCAAGGCCGAGCTACTGCTTTACGATTGTGGGACGAACAATTTGGTCAATCTCTGCACCGGCGATGGTAATTCGGTTGTGGAGATGTACCCTCGTTTCGAGAGCTCATCTACATGACGATATAATTTATATATATACATATATGTCAGTGTTATGTTACCTCGTTTGTGTGAAACATGTCCTGCTATATGTAAGGTCCTTTAGCCTTTTGATGAAATGCTTCAGCACGTTTGCTTTTTTGAGATTGCTTTTATTGCAATGACATGTGTTCTTATAGATCAGTCTTTCTTTCTTATAGCGATCACATTGTTCTCTATGACCCATCTAGCTTGCCTTGTAATTGTAGTTTATGTAATTCTATATTGATTGACATTGATCAGGAGAAAAAAAAATAAAGATCTTTCCTTAAGCCATTCTGAAGAGATCTTTGGCCTATGCAGTACTTCTGCACATATAGAATTTCTATAAAATTGATATATTCTATAGTTTCTTTGTTTCTTTTTCTGTTCCCGTTAGCAGACAATTATTGTGTTAGGTGTAATGCAAGTTTGAAGCACTCCATCCCCATGTTAATATGCTGCCACGACATGAGTTTATGTACACACACATTGCATTAAAAGCATGTTTAGAATGACTCATCCATGTTACCCCTTGGTTCGACATGACCGATTAATGTCTTTGGTGGTAACTAAGTTAACCCATCTGCTGCCACAAACTATAGACACTCAATGTTTTTGCACAACATTCAAGTACTTCAATTTCACGTGTTTAGCACCTCTAGAGTACTTGTAGTTGTCTGATTAGAAGGCAGCTGCAGAATTATCAGAGAAGTTTTTCAACCGCCTGGCTCCGAATATTACAACACAGGTACTGGGTTTCTCATCTTTTAATGCTACAAATTTTTAGCATCGGCATTCTTATAAATAAACACAAATCAATTTACTTGCCAATGGTGATTGTATATGGCTTTTGATAGGATTTTGAGATCTGCCATACTTTTTGGTACTTCATATATTGGATTTATTCTAACTTAATATTTTTTATGTGGTAAAAAATCTAAAAATGAGATTTTGGTCCTTGGTTT